GGGGGGAGGGTGGGGGCATCTCCGTACATTTCGCTATTCGGACGCAGCGATAAGGGCTCGCTTGCCGGCGGCCTGGCCTTGGTGGCAGCTGACTCTTCCCCTCCCCGCCGCCCGTGCCGCGCCGCTCTGGGCGCGAAATACGAGCTGGCTGCTAAAACGTTTCGCCTTCTCGCTGGGAATGGGATCGGGCTGGCTGCTGCTGCCGGCTGGCGGGCGGGTGGCGGGGATCGTCGGCGGCGGCAGCAGCGGGATCCACTCGCGAAACCATCATTGGAAAGGAAATATGCATGGTGCGGCGCGGAGAAAGGAAAGAAAAGGAGGTAGCGTGACCGAACGACGGGTCTTTTCCGAGATCGACATGTTCACCATAAATGCGACGTCTTTTGGTTGAGGCAGTCTCGGAAAAACCAAGGCGCGTCCCCATGTACTTCTTTATTTCTCTCCATGAGAGATGGTTGGCTGCTTGCAAACCAAGACGTCGCTTTTACCGTGTTGTGTTGCAGTTGAAGTAAATGTGAAAAGGAAAGCACAAAATTGTCTAGAATAAGGTGGGTGGAACGTACAATTTGTCGCCTCTTGCATTTTTCTACGGCCATTTTTACAATTATTTTTTCGATGTTGCCTGAGTGGAATTTCACACACACGCCGTCTCTAGTATGATTATTTTCTTAAACGCTGATTCAAATTGTTTCAATTGATCCGACGCCGAGGGAGATGGCCTGTTTAGTGGCTGGGCCGTGGTTGAGGGAGGGCTAGTTTTGTCAACCGCCTCACTGTTTGTCTCCCCCCACCGCAGAACGCCACGAGACCTAATCAATAGCCTGCCTTTTTTCACTTCTCAATGCAGACAATAAACAGGGTACAAAAAAGGAACATCCTCCCTCCACAATCAGCCAGGGTCACCAGCCTTGACCCGACTCCCCGCGCACGAGAACCTCAGCTGGGCACGAAAAGCAACACGCAATTACGATAACTACGAGAAAAAATTTCATGAATTCAAATCCCCGCGCGTTCCCCGAAAACGAAAGCTGCAATATCGCTTTCTATCTGCGATCGCGCGTATCACTACATATACCGGCGGCTTAAAACCGAGAGTGCACTAAACACCTATCCCCGTTTAGCTGAGTGATTCCGAGTTATTGTCGGAATAGGGAGGGAGGGGAGGGGAATCACACACGAGTGCACAATTAAAAAGCTATTGTATATCGGGCGCGGGGCGCGAGGGGCGCGAGCACGGGGACGCTCGCCTCATCGTTTTTGTTTTTCACTCGCTGAGCCCGCCGCCCCCAGCCCCACCCCCTCTAATGGATGGGTAAAATATTAAAATGCGCCAAACGCCCCCGTGGGCCGGCCGGCCGCAGTCGAGCGGGGGCCTATGTGGCCGCTTCCTGTGGGCCCACCGAATGTCAACTGGAAGCGGATGAGGAAGATAAAAGATAAGACAGAAAAGGAGACACGCACTGTAAAAAAAAGTATCATTTACGACGCTCCACACGCTAAACCTTTATGCATTGTGTTGTGCATAAACGTGCACAATTTTATGAATATCTATGTACAATTAGTGCATAATTATGCACAATTTGTGCATGAATATGCATAAAATTTTACATACTTTTGGCTGAATAAAATTCTGCATGTTTATGCACAATAAAACGCATGAGGGATTAGCGTGTATTCGGGCAAGGAAAATTACTTTAACTTTTACAGTGTTACCATTTACCATGCAAACATACAATACAATGGGATAACTAAGAAAATAATAATGATAAAAAATCACAAGTCGGTTCGAGGCCGGTAGGGGTCTGAAAAGGCAAGGCAGCAGAGTTGTTAGCATCGGTCTGGGCCACGATGTGATTTAAGAGTTGCGCTAGGGGTGGCCGGCGTCGGGCCGGCCTGAGCGGGGGCAGCGGCAATTTGCTTGTCGGTTTCGTTTTGCCAGAGTCTGCCCCCGGCCCGACCATTACCTCTGCGCAAGACGGACCCGCCGGTAGCGGTAAGACTGACTGAACAACTCCCCATGAACACAAGTCCCTTAAGACGATCATTCTCGCCACCGCGGCGAGAGCACGCAAGCGCTTCCGGGTTAATACTTCCGGCCGGCTGACGAAGGGGGCAACGAAAAGCGCAGCACCCTCATCGGGTACACCTGCTTTAATTTGCTTGTCCATACATCGATAAACGGTCGCTTTTTCCGCTTAACGGATTTTATGCACGCAGCAGGTCAGTCTCTCTCTCTCTCTCTCTCTCTCTCTCTCTCTCTCTCTCTCTCTCTCTCTCCCTCTCCCTCTCCCTCCCTCGTGGGGTTGGGAAGGTCGATTATCCACTTTGCGAGAGAGCTCAGCCGTTGTAGAGGGGCGAGGGGGTCAGAAAGGTGGGGGAGGTAAAGGTGGTCGGGAGGTCACCACCGGGTCCTCCCCATTTGGGCCCCGCCACACACCAACGCCCCCTGCCCCAACACCCCTTTTCAAAAGGGTAGTGGTAGTACTCGCATCGCAGTGGTGGTGGTGGTGGTAGTAGTGGGGATGGGGATGGAAGGGGGTGCAGATAGGGCATCTCCCATCCCTTCCTGCTAACCCTCCTCCCCCCCCCTCTCACGCCCCGTATCGCCCCGCCACCCTGCCAACACCATGCCCTCTGATTCAGGACTCTGGCTCACGACTAGCTCAGGCTCAAGCCTCCCGGACTCAGTGGATTCAGCCTCAGCCACCCGCGGTCGATAGAGGAAAAGGTGTGGACCACCGGAGGAGAGCAGTGAAGGATTCAGAAGGGAAGGGAGAGAGAGGGAGGGGGAGAGAGAGAGAGAGAGAGAGAGAGA